CCTTCGGATGGAGTCTCCTGAGTCACTGGGATTACAGACATGTGCCACTGTTCCCCGCTATTTATTGGATATTTTTATTTTCTGTCTTATAAAATGGCTATTCATATCTTTTGCCAATGTTTCCAAGGGATTTTTATTTTGTCTTTTTCTTTTGATTTGTTGGAGTTAACAGACTTGAGGTAATAATATTTTGTCTTATATATATTGCAAATATTTCCTCCCTTTCTGTATTTCATGGGTAGAATTCCATCTATTCACATAGTCAAAAATATCCACATATCCCTTTGTGAGACATATATTTCTCAATATTTTTTTGGAGGAAAATTTAAGTTCAATTTCAAAAATTCAGTATATATTTATTGAGTATATATATACTCAATAAATATGTATATATATACACACACACATACACACACATTATGCTAAGCAAAAAAGATATATATATATTACATAATATATATTATATATATTATGCTAAGCAAGAAAACATAAAAATAAATGCCCTGTGGCATCTGTTCTCATGGATTTTACAATTTAGTGTTGGAGATAAATATTCACAAATACCTATAAAAATCAAGGATATTTCCACAAAATACTATTTTAAGAAGTTCTATGGTGGAGCCATGCCTCACTTAGAATAAGGCATCTGGAAAGATTTTATGGATGCTGTTATACTGAAGAGAAGGCAGGGGTGGGAACAAAGGCAGGAACACCACAAGCCAAAGCAGAAAATTAAACAAGAAAGGACTGAGATAAATTTCCAGGAAAGTTGGATAATAGGTGTGTGGATCAAAATAAGAGGATCATAGAGGAAGACAGAACACAAAAGTATGGTATAGCTGTCTCAATCTTTTACCCATAAATAAGAAACATGGGAATAAATTCACTTCCTAGTCTCCTTGAGAAGCAGTCATTAAAGAAAAGAACACTACTGACTATGAGGAATTAAGTAAAATTTGGAGAGATCATGTAAACCTAGATAGCCTCACCCTGACACGTGATGACAGCTGAAGATGGATTGTCCCTCAGTCCATCCAGCGTCTACGTGTGCATTGCTGGGGGATCTGCTGATTTCTGCCCCTCCAGAGCTCTTGCCCAAGAACAGCTGTGGTTTGCAAGTTTTACCATCCTGTAGAGGTGAGAACTAAATAACTTATGCTCTATGACTTCACAGTTTTCTGGGGAGACTGCCAAAGAAAGCATGTTTGGGGTAGAAATCAGAGAGAGAAAAAAAAAGCAAAATTGAAATAAATTTTAAAACCCAGGCCCAATTTTTTTAAGAATAAGGTTTCCTATCCGATCCTCCCTAAGTTCTACCTGCAGGATGCAATGGCTGTCATGGGTTACTGTGGACAGCAACAGGCCGTCTTGAGCTACATTTGATAGGCAGCTGGAGAGTATAGGGATGTGTGCTTTAGTGGAAAATGTTACCAACAGCTGACCTCCTTCGCCTCCACCGAAATGGCGGCCTTCCTCTGCACATTTTATGTAGCTGTGGGGAGAATGACAAAAGACAGATGCTTCTTGCTGGAATGCTAGTTGTTTAATCATTCTTTCTAGTCCCAAGACATTTACTGTAGCTTCTTGGAGCTGACATCTTGGGCTGCTCCTTGGTTTTCAATGTCTTGTAAATGATGTTGCAATTTTCCATTACAAAGAATATGGGGAAAGTCTGTGGCAGAGTTTTTTCAAAGGTGTCACGTCGTCGTGGATGGTGTTGTCTGGGGCCAAAAGCCTTAAAACTGGGAATGCAGGAATTTTTGGTAAATAAACTGTAAGTTCTTGAAGGGGGACACAAAATATATAACCTCATCTCCACCTGACTCCCACCCAGCCTCCCTCAGAACTGCAGAAGCATTCATGTCAACTGAAAGGCTTCACAGCCACACACCAGGTTAGTCTTCCCAATAGCGTGGCCCGCCACATGGTACCCACAAAGGAGGAAACCCACTTCCTTTCCAGGTTCTGTGGTCCCCACTGAACGCCCGCATGCTGCATGGCAGACTAGATGCCCCTCAGAATCATAGTAAAACTCGGTCGTCTTAGTCACAGATCACCCTCCTCAGTAGGTTTCTTGCTCTGTTTTCAGAAAGACAGCAGCATGAAAGAGAAACTGCCAAGTCATGATGTCCTCAAGCGTTTTCATCAGGTTACAGGGTAGCAGTAAATGATTGGCTTCTCATGTACATCCTTCTTTTCCCAGGGGGATCCCATTCTTACCAACAGGTGAATCGAAACGGCAATTTAGAAAGTGATTTATTTTCTTTTTAACCTAAAAGTCAGAACACTGAATTGAATTTCATCAAGTCCTGTTGTTTTAGCATATCCGGTTACATTTGTTTTTTGTTTGTTGGTTTGTTTTTAATATGAACCTGTGAATATTTTTTCTCTTCCTCTAGTTAAAGTTGCAAATTATCTTGCTTTCCTCTATAGCCTCCCTCTACTGTGCAAAGATGCTCATTTCTTTTCTCCCTGGTGATGATTGTGTCTCTAAAGAGCTCTCTTCAATATGAGGGAGCTTTGGAATAGAGAAGGCACACTAGAAATGGAATCCAGTGTCTATGGTACCCATGGGCTCTCTGTTTCTTACATAGGAGAAAAGAATACACACACACATACACACACACAAATATATATATACACACACACACACTCATGTGTACAGGAGGTACATTTGGCAGCAGGTAGGCTTAATAACAAGATCTTGTCTTCCTAGACCACTTTCTACAAGGACATTTATAAATATATAAAGATTATCTTCAAAACGCTCTCTTCAGCTACACTAAGTGCTAGTATTATTTTCCTATTTCATGAGGCAAAACCAGAATTAGGAGACTCAGCTCTGCCAGCTTCACCCAGCTCAGAAAGCGAGTCCCACCCTTCTGAGACTCAGCGACATTATCCATCAGACCCAAGCCTCTCCCAGCCTCTCCGGCTCTCCTCTGCGTACAGACCAATGTTCTTGGCTCCTCATTTGATCTTAAAATCAGTGTTGGGTGAATCAGTCAGAAGATTTGGACATTCTGTTCAGGGAACATTATAAATTCATCAAGATTTGCTGGATCTGCAAAACTCTCCTGGCATTCTTAGCAGAATAACTGTCCTCTGTCCCCAGATGACTTCATGAAATGTAAGATTTGTATGAGATGATAGTTTCTCCATTGCCTGGAGAGATAACCACCTGACGTACGTCTCTGTTGCCCGTGAGGTCTTCTCTTCTGGCAGTCTTTCTTGCCTGTCCTGATCCACCAAGGCATCGTATAAAACTCAATTTAACTATTACCATCTCCTTCACTGAGGCTTCACACCCATTCTCCACTTCTACCTTCTTAGCAATGCCCCAGATTTATTCAGGTCTCCACTCACATCTCTCCCACCAAGATATGTGTCTGGTGAAAATTGTTGATCTTAGCCCTAGCCCCACCAAAGGTCAATCAACATAAGCATAATATCTGTTTCTTAACTGTCCCGTGGCCTTGACCATCAAAGGAGAGAAGAAGCACATGGGGGTTCTTGGTTTTCACTAGGAAGACAGAATCCAAGAAAGAGAGGGACATTCCTCTTCCTGTGAAGTGCCATTGTCTGTCTGTTGCCATATGATGGCTGCCTGCCTCCCTTTGGGCATCAAGAAAAATAGGCCTCTTTCTAAGACCCAGTAGCCACTGAATTATGAGAGTCTCAGTTTCCTCTTTTGAAAAATGAGGAAGTTGACCTAATTTATCTGTAGCTTCCTTCCAGTTTTAGAATACCAAGTATGCTTCTCAAAGATGCTGGGGAGGGCCTCGGAAGTGCAGAAGGCCAGCTAATTTTATCCATAGCTCTCACAATCTGGAGCCATGAACACTTAACAAGCAGTTGGAGTTTTAAGAACTGGGTGATCTCAACTCTTCATCTGAAGAAATGAGTAGTAATCTTGGTTCACCATGAAGACTCACACTACTTTTTCCCTGAAGCCAGGCTGTTAAAATCCACTCCTACCCCATTCAGTAAAGAAAATGTTTCTACTAAATTAGTGAAAAGAGTAGTACAAGTTTAGGAAGTGAAAAAACTTTTTTTTTTCTTCTTAATTTTAAGTTAGAACATTCCCCACCCACTGCTGATGTAATTGTCTCAAAACCACCCAAGAAGACCTGAAGAATTAGTAAATGGTAGGGCAGTTGTATGGAAAAATTAAAGAAAAAAAATACAGGATTATTTTGCCTTAGGTTAAGTAGCTTTTTAAACTTGCTTCAAAATGTTAAAAGAATTAAGTTGAAGCACCATCTAGTGGCCCTCAATTGTGTCTTGCCACAAGTAGCCCCAGATTTTCTTTAGTTTGAGACCGTGATTAATTTTTCTGTACATGCATATATAATACATATGGGTGTTCAAGAAAGAAAAATAATATGGGTTTCCCTCCCTCACCATCTTTAATTCTCGTTATGTAGAGATAGGAAGATGGGGGTTGGAAGGAGGGGCTATAGTTTTCTACTCTTCCAGTCACGTGCCATCAATAACGTCCTGCCAATGAGAATGGGATAGAGAGGTGGCCTGAATTCACGTAAATCTCTCCCACAAATGATTGAGTCCCTTTGGTGAAAAAAGAATTAACACAACAAAGTCCAAAAGATCTCGATTCCTCTGTTTCTCTTACCCACAATGGTATGTTCGTCTTTCCAATCCTACAAAGCAGATATGTCCTCACATGTCTAGTGACAACTAGATGATCTTCTCATAGCCCCAGATTCCCAAGTCCTTTCCCACCCACCACAAGCCACAGCATCCCTTAACTTTACATAACCAACCGTTCTTGCAAAATCTTCATAGAAATGGCTCTGTGATTCCTAACCTCTGATGTTATGCCTGTTTTATTACCTCTAAGTCAAGAACAAAAATAGATCACTATATGCACATAACCTGTTCTTGCAAGATTGACAACAAACCTTCAGATTGACCAACTAGGTGTTTATGACAACGAGGATGAAGTTCGGCTTTGTGTACAGTAAAACCCAAAATAGCAGTGCCATGAATAAAATAGTTTATTCTCTTATACAAAGTCAATAGGTAGATGGGCTAGGGTTGGTAGGGCAGCTCCATGGTCATCAGGCCCAGGATGCTTCCATCTTTCTTTTTCCATTTTTTTTTAAAATCCATCTCAGTGAATAGTCTTCATCCTCAAGGGTCACTCATAGCTCAAGTTGGCTGCTGGACCTCCAGTCATCACACCAATGTTGCAGTCCAAGAAATGAGGAGGAAAAGCAGAAAAGCACCCTTCCTTTCTCTTTCAAAAAGTTTTCCAGAAAATATCACAGATGATATGCTTATATTTCATTTGCCAAAACTCAACAGGGAGGTGGGCAGGTAGGAGTGAGGAGATTCAGCTATACCCTATGTGGTTCTCACTCCCCCAGCAGGTTAGGCCAGACATGTTCTTATTGGAGTAGTAGGTAGAAACATGAAGGACCTCACGAGACCCATGCTGAGATGGTACACTGCCACTGCTGCCTCATTTTATTGGCCAAAGCAAATTACATATGGTGGATAAGCATGTACACTCCTTACGAAAAGGACTTTGAAATCCGCTGAAAGCTTACATGGGTAAAAGGGGGTGTGAATATAATCAGTGGCCACAAAGAGAAAGGGTAGGACCACAATGGACCAGGCAACTTGCAATCTCTGCTGTCTTTTTCAGTCTATTACAGAATTGAATTACAAGACTCCTTCACTTTCAATATGCTATCATAAACATGAAAAAAATCTAATACAAAATCTAATAAATATCTATGATATTTACTAATGAAATTATTTATTAATTCATGGTAGATGACTAACAGAGTAGGCATTAATCTTAGCACTAGTCCTATTATTTACTATTGGCTAGATGTATAACAAGCTTGATTCCTTTTCTTCCAAAGCTTTCAGACCATTTTCCAAGCTCTGTACAAGTTACCATGACCTTCAGACTGAACACTAGACAATGGAATGCAAGTAGAAGTAACTGCTACTCCAAGTCTGGCCTGTAAAATCCTCCCACATAAAATCCTGCTGCCTTTTCACCAGGTGACTACAGAGTACTCTGAGGAAATCAGAGTCATAGCATAAAGAGGATAAAATGCTAGCTTGGAGCAATACCTGTGGAACCACTGTCCCAGACCCACCAACTACATTGGAGTGTGATTTGAGTAAGAATTAAACTTTTTCAGTGGGCAACCAAGAATCTGGGATGAAAGCACCACCTAATTAGAGTACTGGACTAGTGTAGTATCTTCCAGTATTAAGCATTCATTTTCTCCCCTACAGTTTATTGAAAACAAAACTAGTAGCCCAAATCACTCACAACTTTACATAAAAAATGATTCCTTTAGCTGGGCTTGGTGGTGCATGCCTATAATCCCAGTGACTTGGGAGGCTGAGGGAGGAGGACCACAAGTTTGAGGGTAGTCTCAGCAATTTAGCAAGGCCCTAAGCAAATTTAGTGAGACTCTATCTCAAAATAAAAAATGAAAAGGGTTGGGGACATGGCTCAGTGGTGAAACATCCCTGGGTTCAATCTACAGTATGGAGGGAAAAAAAAGATACATTTAGGTAAAACAACACTTATTACTACAGGATTACCATCTGAATCAGCAGCCTTTCAAGATATTAGGGCTTTACCAATATCCCACCCTTTACCCCCATTAATCCATTCCAATCTGTAACTTGGAATATAAACAACAAATAGTACTGAGACACTTAGAGCTCTAAAAGGTCAGGGGACCTTCAGCATTGTCTCCAAAGACACTGGCAGTTCCTTAGTTGGGAACAATTTATAACTTCTACTAAAATGCAACTATTGCTAAAAAAAGACTCTAAGCCATTCACTTAGGATTCAGTCCAAATATGCAATGTGACTGCCCTGGTACTTGCTAGCAAGAAAAGAAAAGGACAGAAGGTTCGCTACTGGCCAACTTGCAGGCAGTGTTTATAGTGGCTCTAGCCATTGCAACTTTGATAGCATCTCAAGTGGGCAAAGGAACCAAGAAGCTGGATGAAAGCACCATCCAAAGGACTCAAGGGGTGTAGAAAAACTGCTCAGCATTGTTGTTTGAATTGCTGAGCCATCTTCTTCTTTAGGCTGGGAAGCAGGATTGTTTTACTTTGTCTAATAAGCATTCACTGAAGGAAAGGGAAGAATAGACAAAGCATCCTTGACATTTATGACAGCAAACACCAAACTTTTGCACATGTGTATATACTGTATGTAAAGAGACTGAAACAGCTTGCCAACTTATGTCCATTCTCATAAACGCTTAGGTACGAAAGTGTACTTCAGCTAGATGTTGAACATGAGGCTGATTACAAATGGCTGTTTTCTTATGATGTCATATCAACTGACTTCCAGCTCTTCTGATTTTTATTCTCTAGGAAGAAACATAATAATAACAATAATATTATTAATGATGATGATGATAATAATAATAATAATAATAATGACAATGCAAGAAACAAGTCATCTGAATCATGGAAACATGGAAGCAAACTCTTGAGAAGTACCAGCAGCCTCTTAACCTCCTGCTAGAATTTCAAGGAGTGTGCTAGGCTAGGACTCTCTTGGTTCAAAATCATAACAAAGCTCTGGCCCCAGTTCTGTGGACACCTCTGCCAGGTCTTCCAGTTGTTCACCAAGCCTAATGTTAAAGAATCGGCTGAGGCAGCAAATGCAATGTATCATGAAATGTGTCAAGCTCACTCCAGCACAGAAGGAACTCAAAAGTCTCCCAGTGATGTTTGCTTCCTACTGAGTCTTACCAGTTCAATCCTCAGTTCTTACCTGCAACCATTTATCCTCTGGGAGAAAGCAAATCCCACGATGACCAGAATGACCAAAAGAAGAGAGAGCTTCGCATAGAGAATGATCAGCAGAGTTGAACATGGAGATTCTGGTGTTCCGAGAACTTTAAATGTAGGTAACAGTTAAAAGTCTGTTGGAAGATTCTTATAATTCACAAATTGGAGTCAACGGTTTAAAAGAATACTTTAAAAATATTCCTAAAAGTTCATAGATTGTCAAAATTTGTAAAATTCTAAATTATATTTCAAATATTATTAATGTATCATTATTTCATGACTGAGTTCAGGAACCACATCTTTGTTTTGTACTTGGTACATTTTAACACATATTTTCTGAAAGAATAAAACTATTCTAAGCATTTTTAATTGTTCTAAATATTTAAAGAAAAAGAAAATTTCCCTTGCATAGTTTAGTCTTATTCTGAATATTTTGGGCATGATCCGATAACACTCAACACAGTGAAATGATTTTGTCACTGAGTAGATAGAACCACTTTAATAAAGTGTTTTATGTCTTCCTACTTCCGTTTTACTCATCTGTAAAATGCCCCCTGGGATTTGTTTAAAAGATAAAAGCAGACTAATCGGATCATTATTCTGCAATCTTTTCTTCTGTGAAAAGGCACAATGAGGGGATAAGAAGACAATATGATAAGGATGCTGATTCATACTGGAGATGGGGGATCATGGAAGGAATAGATGAACTTTAGACAGCGCAAAAGGGAGGGAAGGAAAGAGAGGGGTACAAGGATAGGAAAGACAGTGGAATGAGAAGAACATCATTACCCTAAGTACATGTATGAAGACATGAATGGTGTGACTCTACTTTGTGTTCAACCAGAGATATGAATGTGCACTATAATTGAAATGCATTCTAGTGTCATATACAACAAATTAGAATAAATAAAATTTAAAAATTTTTTTAAATAAATTTTTTAAAAAGGACAATATGAATGCAGTCCCCCAAAAGCTCAGAGTCTAACTGGAGAAGTCAAATTTACACAAATGAAAGAGAAGTCATGAGAGAGCAAATGGTGCTGATGAGCATTAGATTATAAACCATCTGAGGAATAAGAATGGTTCATCAACTCCAGGGGTCAGAGAGAAGTGGGATTTAAACTGAGCTTTGCTGTCTGCAGTATTAAACAGGTTAAGAGAAGAAGGAAGGATGTTTCAAGGGAAAGGAACAACTTAAAGCTTTGAGGATTTGGGGCATAGAGTGGAAAATGTAGAGACAGGGTTTTCTGATAATCAGAACCTAATTGTGCAATTATTTGTGTCAGGTATTGTGACAGACCTTAGTGATGTAGAATTGGAAAAAAAAAAAAGTGGTTCCTATTTTCGAGGAACTTACAACATACTGGAAGTCAAAGACATCTGTAGTTGTGATACACAGAGAAATATAATGTCTTTGTTACCTGGCTCCTGGCACATAACTTCTAAAACCTTGGAAATACCACTATAGTCAGAGTATCTTTTGTATGCTAGCAAGATGACAGGTGTCTGGAAGACCTTATATATCTTCAGAATGAGGGTTAGTTATCAGAAAAGGTAAGGCATGATTAGAGTTGTAACATTCAGCCCCCATCACCACCACAACCACCATCACTGAGCTCTAAGGAGGCTAGAGATTGAGTTAATCATCAAACACCAATGATTTAGTCAATCAAGCCTATGTAATGAAGTCTCCATAAAGACAGTGAACAATGGGGTTTGGATAGCTTCTGCATTAGAAGACATATCCAGGAGCTGGGAGAATGGCTTTCTCTAAGATGGTATGGAAGCTCCAGGCCCCTTCCCCTGTACTTTGCCCTAGGTATCTCTTCCATTTGGCTGATCCTGTGTTGTTTCCTTTATAATAATGAATAACAGTAAATAAAATGCCTTCCTGAGTTTTGTGAGCCATTCTGGCAGATTATTGAATCTGATCGGAGGAATGTGGGAACTCCTTGAATTTATAGTCAATTAGCTGTAAGTACAGGTGGCAACTAAAACCTGTTACTGGTGTCTCAAGTGCGGGCAGTATGTGAGACTGACTCCCTAAGCTGTGGGATCTGTGCAAATCCCAGGAGTTAGCATCAGAGTTAAATCGAATTTCAAGACACCTGGTTAATACCTGGAGATTTAGAGTATTGGTTGGTGTGCAAAGAAAAGAACCATGCTCATTTGGTGTCATATTGTGAGTGAAAATAGTTCAGAGCCATCAATGACAGACATATAGAAGTACCCTGACAGAGGCACGCATGAAGCATTACGTCAATACAGAGAAGAAATAGTTGACTAAGCTTCAAGTTAAAGAAAAAAAAATCATCCCAGAGGAGCAATGGCAAACTAAGTCTCAAAACCTCAATAGGAATTGATCAAATGCAATGCAAGAAATGAGCACAGAGAAAGAAGCACACTGTGGGGATGTTGAAGCTGAGTGTAAAAGGCAACAGAGAAACAGAGCAGAATACTTTTGAAAAGCCGAAAAGGATCCATATACCTGGGGTGCAGACTGGAGAAGAGTGAGACATGAGGCAGAGAAGAGCTGCTGTAGTGCAAGCTGTCAAAGGGGTTTAGCTTTCCATGAAGCCAAAGGAGCCCTGGGGGTCATGTAAGTAGAGGAGTGGGACATTTTTCATTTTAGAATGGTCCTTGTGAAATAATCCAGGGAATAAATTGAAAGTAAGTAAGCTAAGGGCCAGTAGTCTTGCTCTAAAGCCATATCAATAATCTTGGTGAGAGATGATCATACAAATACTAAGATAGAAAGAGAAGCTTCCATATTTAAGAATGATTTCTAAGGTCAAATCAATAAAACAGAGTGACTGGTTTTGAATATGAGGAATAAGAAAGAAGGATGTTGTAGAATCTGTTTAAGTTTCTAGCTTAAGAAATTTATCAAGTTATAAAGTGCATGTATGAATATGTAACAATGAATCCCACTATTGTGCATAATTATGATACACAAATAAAAATATGGAGAAAAGAAAATAATTGAAGAGAATGTACAGAAAGATTTGTACAAAAGAATGTACAGAAATTTAAATTTATAAAACAAACGTGCAGAACTCATGAAGGGGTAGAAATATTTGAGTTTCTCTTGATGCATCTAAGTAAACCTGTTCAGTTTCAAGTTGAGAGAGCTAAGAAGCAAAATCTGGGCAAAAAGAAAACACAGATTTGAGAGTTAAGAATTAGCTGATAGATGAAGCAATGGGTATAATTTTGAGGTTATTCGAGGAACATAGATAAGTGAGAATCAGGTCAAGGATGTAACCCATAGAAATACTTTCATTCATAGAATGAATACATGAAAACAAATAAGTCAACTGAATGTTAAGAAGAGAACCAAGAGATGGAAAATAAAATCAACATACAAAAATCAGTAGCTTTCCTATATGCCAACAATGAATTTTCTAAGAAATCAGGAAAATAATCCCATTCACAATAATTTCAACAAAAATAAAGTACCTAGGAATGAAACTAACCAAGGAAATGAAAGATGTCTACAATGAAAATTTTAGAATATTGAAAGAAGAAATTAAATAAGACACAAGATAGAAAGACTTCCCATTTTCATGGATAGGCAAAATTAATATTGTTAAAATGGCCAAATAACCAAAAATAATGTACAGATTCAGTGCAATCTCTATTAAAATACCAATGGCAATCTTCATAGAACTAGAAACAGCAGTCCTAAATTTCATTTGGAAGAATAAAAAATGCACTATAGCAAAAGTAATCCTAAACCAAAAAAAAAAAAAAGCAATGCTGGAGACATCACAATACCTGATCTGTACTTATACTACAGACCTATAGTAACAAAAACTGCATGGAACTAGCATAAAAACAGACACATAGGGCTGGGGATGTGGCTCAAGCGGTAGCGCGCTTGCCTGGCATGCGTGCGACCCGGGTTCGATCCTCAGCACCACATGCAAAACAAAGATGTTGTGTCCGCCGAAAACTAAAAAATAAATATTAAAAATTCTCTTTCCTCTCTCTCTCTCTCTTAAAAAAAAAAAAACAGACACATAGGCCAATGGTACCAAACAAAAGACACAGAAACAGATTCACACACATCTACAGTCATGTGATCCTTGACAGGGGTGCCAAAAACAGACATTAGAGAAAATACAGGCTTTTTAACAAATGGGCTGGGGAAACTGATTATACTAATATAGAAGAATGACACTAAATCCTTATTTCTTTACTTTGCCCAAACATCAACTCAAAGTGGATCAAAGACCAAGGAATTAGACAACAAATTTGGTAACTCATTAAAGAAAATGTAGGGTCAACACTCTAACATATAGGCATAGGCAATGGCTTTCTCAATAAGACTCCTAAAGTTCAAGAAATAATACCAAGAATTAATGAATGAATGGCATCAAATTAAAAAAAACTTCTGCACAGCCAAGAAAATAATTAAGAAGGTGAAGGGAGAACCTACAGAATGGGAAAATATCTTTGCTAGCTACTCTTTGGACAGATAATAATATTAAAAAATAAAAAAGAAAGGAATGTCATATGTTGTGAATATGATATTTCATATTTCATATACATACATACAATTGGTATGTATACACAATAGAGTTTTATTTAGTCATAAGGAATGAAATTATGTCATTTTCAGGAAAATGGATAGAACCTGAGAGCATTATGTTAAGCAAAGTAAACCAAACTTGGAACATCAAGGGTCCTGTTTTTTTTCCTCATATGTGAAAACTGTAGAGGAAAAAGGGAAAAAGGTTGCAGGGAGGGTCTCATGTCTCATGAGTAGAATAGAGGAAGGGAACCAGAGCGCATAGAAAAGAGAAATACAGGGAAATGATATTAACCTAATTATAATGCTATGTCATGTGCATTAATCTCACTATTATGCATAATTATCATTCATCAAAAAATATACAGAGGAAAAAGGAAGAGAATCAAGTGAGAATGGGAGGGAAACACATGAGAAAGGAGGAGTGACCATACTGAATATTATAAAAAAATAAATCAACTATTAAGAATTAATAAATATTGTTTAAAGTTACCAATTATTCAACATCATTGAATGGTAAATATTTAACAGTAATATTTGTGAAAACTTACAATAAAGCTAATTAAGCTAACAAAGAAAAATTTATAGTTTATTTGACATCTGGGGAATATTTGATGCTTTTTGTCCAACTACTTTCTGGGACGGTAGACATAAAGGAATAAATGTCAAGTGATAGATGTGAGGTAACATAAAAGAGACAATAAATGTAGGTTTCGTTTTGTAAAGAATCTTGGACATGAATACAAGACAAGAGCTAGAGTGAAGAAGTAAGAGCATCAAGTTCTTAAACAAAAAACAAACTAGAAAAATTACAAACCAGGAAACAGATCTATGGATAGACTCCTCTTGCCAGTCAAATGGGAGACTAAGCAGGTCATAATAGATACGTGTCTATCTGAATAGTGGCACATACTCCCAACTATCACTGTGTCACTGTCATAGAATTGTCTGTGTGATAAAATCCCCCTCTGGTGTCCAAATAGTCTGTGCAGCTGACTTGTCTGCAACTGCCTTTAATACCCCAGTTCCATTCTGCCCTGAAATCAGGGACTTCAGGGGACACTGAAGAGATGTAAGGGAAATCATGCTTCAATCTTAACATAAGAAATATGAAATTTAGAGACACTTAATTCAGTCACAAATCTGATGATCTGAAATATCATATTCACAACATATGACATTCCTTTCTTTTTTATTTTTTCATATTTATTTTTTAGTTTTTGGTGGACACAACATCTTTATTTTTATTTAGTGCTGAGGATTGAACCCAGTGCCCCATGCATGCCAGGCAAGTACGCTACAGCTTGAGCCACATCCCCAGCCCAACAACATATGATGTTCTTTACCTAAGACTTGGAGGTGATATCCACGACAGAAATTCCCATGATATGTTGCCATTTGACACCTAAAATATCCATCATGAGTGATGGCTGTTGCATAAATCTGAAGGTGAGGACTCTGGTCAGGTCTGGAGGCCCAGGTTATTCTCCTGTCAACACAGCTGGTTTTGATGGTCTGGTTTGTTTCCCTGTTGTGAGCAATTTTGCACGAAGGCTTGTTTCTGAAGCGTATTTGCCATGTTGTTATCAGTACTCTTGTCAATGAAATACAAGGGCAATAGAGCACCACCTTGGTACCCATCTGCACAGACAGTGAAGTGGTAACTGGACACACATGCATACATACACAAGGAGAATGAGAAAAGAAAGCCTTGATAAAGGACCTGTGTGTGTGATTTATCCACCCCACATTACATAAAGTCCTAGTACAACATTGCTTAGCTGGCGACCTTACTCCAGAAATACTAGATTTACATAAGAAATTAACATTCACAAAATATACGTAATGTACTAAAGGAAATTCAGATATTAACAATTTTTCTCCTGTAGTATGAATTATTAGGGAAACTATGCATTATAAAATATGTTGAAATTAAATCAGGAGTTTCAATGTCTAGAAACAGACATGAAGACAGAATTCTAAATTAAATGACAAAGATAATGTTCTAATTCTAATATTTTGGCAGTGAGCAATACTGATTTGATTGTACAATTCATACTCGTAGGGAGATAAATAAAATGGAATAATTATCAGGTTGTGATCTCCCCTTGAGGTTTGATGAGTACAAAACTATCAGTAACATTAAATCTAAATGCCTGTTACTAAGGGTGCAATTCCAGACAACATAAATGTGGGAAGTATGTGGCATTTTTACTAAAGTTAAATAATATAGCATTTAGATTGAGCGTGATGGAATTTTTTAATTTTTTATAATTTACAAATCACAAGTCAGTAAAACCAATATATCTTGAAATAATATGCAGTTTCAGCAGTTCAGCCATTCCATGAAAATGAAAAAATGATAATGCCTAGTGAAAAGAGAACTTCAAAATATTTATTTATGGTAAAAAAAGTAGTTTGGTGTATAAAAAAATGAAAAACTTTCAGTTTTTACTGTAAATGTGTGATATTATCAAACATAGTATCTGGAGAAGTTTCCCTTCCTTCTTGTTTAGAGCAACATATATCCACAGATAAATGAATTATGACGTGTGCTCAAATATTTTGCTGCAGCATGTTCAATCCAGTTCTCAGAATTAAATATAAAAGTTGACCCCTTGTGTCCATGTTTTAAAGCAAAACTTGAGACCTGTAACCTACAAACATCTTCTAATATAGAATCTCACACTTCCCAAAAACCAGCATAAACTGTCCATGACTGAGCATGGTTTACTGAGAGGTGGTTACTCAACCAATGCACCTGCCTCAACTCACCTGTAACAAAGGTGAGGTCAGTGATGTCATCACTGTAACACAGGCAGAGCGGCTATGGTGGAGCAAACCTTTTGTGGGAATGAAACTTTCTTACCCTAAAATCTACAATTAATATCTGTCCTTTCCTGTTTTAGTATCACTCTCTTTTCTGGGTACTCAAGCCTTTGCATTTTGTGGTCAACTAAAGATCATGTAACTAGAAGAAGAAAGAGATAGGACTTGAACACAGTCCTGACAGAAAGTCAAACCCACGCTCTTCCCACCACTCTAACTTGACACAGGTGTAGCAGCAAGTAAGACTGTACCTTGTTCAGGGAGCAAGTAGTGGTAGTGTCACTTGGGACACCTCATAACAAAACACAAAGATTGCCATATTCTAAAGCCAGACAAGAGGCTGCCCATCAGCCACTGTTTCTAACAAAGTTCACCTCTCCATCCCCTCAGTGCTGGCCCTCAATAAGGAAGCATATTACCTTCCATAGGGGGTAATGTCATTTGCTGTCCAAACAAGCAAGAACTACTTGAATCTAGAGAACATTTAGAGAAGAGTAAATGAGATCAATTTGATGTGCTCAAATGAAGGGGAAGCCAGTATTTCTCCATATTCTCCTTCAACATGAGAGACAATTGGTTAACCATCATATAATTATATAATCATTGCAAAACACAAATTAGAAGTTATGCTATCTAGTAATAAAACTATGTTAATATGTTGAAAACCATATTCAGAAGGTATTAATCAAAGGTTTCACATTTTTCAGACACCTAATCTAAGATTTCATCTCACTCCAGTCAAAATGGCAATTATCAAGAATATAAGCAATAATAAATGTTGGTGATGATGTAAGGAAAAAGGTACACTCATATATTGCTGGTGAGACTGCAAATTGGTGCAACCACTATGGAAAACAGTATGGAGATACCTCAGAAAACTTGGAAAGAAACCACCATTTGACCCAGCTATCCCACTCCTTGGTTTATACCCAAAGGACTTAAAATCAGCATACTACAATGACACAGCCACATCAATGTTTATAGCAGTTCAATTCATAATAGCTAAACTTTGGAACCAACCTAGATGCCCTCAGCACATGAATGAATAAAAACACAGTGATATATATCCACAATGGAATATTACTCAGCCTTAAACAAGAATGAAATTATGGCATTTGCAGGTAAATGGATAAAACTAAAGAATATCATGTTAAGTGAAATAAACAAATCCCTCAAATCCAAAAGCCAAATGTTTCTCTTAAAGTGGATGTTGATCCATAGTGGCGTTGGGGAGATAGAGAATAATTAAAAAACTTTGGTTTGTATAGATGGATGTGAGGGGAGGGGTGGGCTGTAGGTATGGGAAGGATGGTAGAATGAGACAGACATTATTACCCTATATACATGTGTAATTACACTACTAGAGTGACTCAGTACCATGTACAACCAGAAGAATGAGAAATTGTGCTCCATTTGTGTATAATACGTCAAAACACATTCTACTATCATGTATAATTGGATCTTTTTAAAAATAATATCTTAAAAACATGAATATACTTTTAAAAATACACATTCAAGTCAATTTATTATAAGTGTAGAAGGGAGCATTAAATGAAGAATAAGCAATAAATATTGGAGGAATATACTATGCTGATTTTAGTTCTTTTGGATAAATACTAAAGAGTGGGTTGGCTGAGTCATATTCTGGTTCCATTGCTAGTCTTTTGAGTAATATTGATACTGTTTTCCATAGTGGCTATACTAGTTTGCAGTACCACCAACAATGTATAAGTATAAATTTTCCATAACATCCTTGCCAGCATTTTTTATTGTTATAGCTCTGACTTCCCTTTCTTGCCATTCTAACTGGAGTGAGATGAACTCTCAATGTACTTTTGATTTGTATTTCCCTAATTGTTAGGGATGTCGAACTTGTTTGTATACTTGTTGGACATTTTGTGTTTCTTCTTTTAAGAAATATCTGTTTAATTCTGTGTGTGTGT